TATGTATCCAAAAAAAGGTCACTGAAAATTTTTAATTAATCTTTTTAATACTTTCAAAAATAATTACCCAAATAAAATAAAAAGAATAGATGTAATTCTTAAAGTCATATTTCAAGTTGTTTTAAAGAAAGTAATAAGATTTTATTAAAAAAAAAGTAAAAAAACTTTTTGTAAATATCTTTTTTATATGTAATTAAAGGATTAGTAATTATTTTTTATTTTTATTTTTATATAAGCATATTCGAATCTTTTTAGTATTTTTTTTTTTTATTTTCTCTTCTTTTTTGTAATTTTTTAAAATAAGTTTCTTGAAGAATAATAGATAATAATAATCTATTAATGATAATATGTAAATTAAAAAGATATTTATTCAAAATTTACTATAAAGTAAAATATTGTTTTTAAAATTATACTTAGAAATTAAAGTTCTTTTAAGAATAGAAAGTAGTTAATAAGTAAATTAAAATAAAATTTAGTCTATTTATAATATAATTGTTTTATATATCTTTATTAGTTTTTATTAATTAATAAATATATATTACTAAAGACCTAGGATCAATAACACAGTAGTAGTACTCCCAGATTACAATTACAAGATCTGTAATTCAATATAACTTAAGGATCAAAAATTAAAAATTACCCTTCTAATCAGGTTTACTGGTTATTCTATAAAAGTTATATCCAATTATTTGGAATAAGCTTTAATCAGATTAGGTTGCATGAAGATGGAACTTCTAACTTTCTATTAATCAGGGCTGAGATCTATAATCATACTATTAGAAGAATTGCATAAAGAAAGGATTTTGGTCTAGCCCACCATAAACACCTCACAGACTCCCTACTAAAGATGAGTCTCTAAAAGGAGAGGCAGAGACAAAAGTCAAATGTTCCTCACTAGGAAATATTAAAATTTTTAAATTAATAACTATAAAAAAACTACCCATAAATGTTCTTCATTATCCAAATAATTGATTTATAGTATTTCCTGACTTTTTTCCTATTAAAGTGAAGAGCTATGAATTTTGTCTATCAAAAAGGAACATAAGTAATCTGCAAAATTTTATATGCTAAATACTTTAGGGGCCCATCATTACTTTCTACCCTGGCAGTCTTCAGGATCCTGCCATTTTAGCTTAGGATATTCCAATATGGTGCTCCGCTTAATTGAAAATTAGTCAAATGGGACTGATATGATACCATATATCATGACAAAGAAGGCAAAGTGCCTCCTTCCGAGGTTTGAGCAAATAATATTCCTAGAAATATTGGAGAGTAAACTAAATCCCATCAGATATATACTATACAACCTAGTTTAGTAAATATAATACAAAAATTTATAAAGTTCAATACTAAATTAGTCTGTTTCGTCATCTATGACTATGTATTTGACTGTTTGACCCCTAACTGGGTCTGCCCTATTCACAGAGTAGTAGCAGGTCTATCTAGAAAAAACTATAATAGGTTATCATTAATCTGCATATATATAGAAATATATTGTTTGTATGAAATAATTGATGTAATGCTCAGACGTCAAAACATAAGACATCACAACATAATTATGTTGTGATGTCTTATGTTTTGACATCTTATTTTAAGTTATTATGTCTTAGTTTGGGTTATGTAGGCAAGTTCATGATTCTGGCCGCATTCAAAGGTGGCTTATTTTATAATTCTGACCACATGCTAATATGGCCAATTTCTGTAGTTGGGCCACATGACAACTGTGGCCAATTTCTGTTGTCAGGCCACATAACGATTTCTGTGGCCGATTTCCACTGTCAGCTCACATGTGAACTATCGACACTAGCTCCGCTATCTCTGCTATTTTGATTTACGCGTCATTTTCGAAGGCAAAAAAAAAAATAATCACGTGAATGCTATCAAGTACACTATATACATTCTATCGAGTATGCTATCGGGAAATGATATCAAATTGATTACGCGTGATTGCTATCGAGTTATGCTATCGGGTATGCTATCGAATATATGCTATCAATATACGCATAATAAATGCTATCGAATATGCATTGTGTAATTGTTATCAGTTATGATTTGCGTAATTGCTATCGAGTATGCTAGACATATGCTATCGGGTATATTATACTGTATATATGTTATCCGTCACTGAAAAATCTTTGGTGACAACTTTGGTGACATCTTTGGTGACGGGTTTATTATTAAATTTCAGTTTTAAATTCTTTTTTATCTTGTTCTTCTATACTATCACCAAAGTCACTAAAAATAAAGTAAAATTCTAGGAAAAATAAAACTTCATCCCGTGGTACAGTATATCTAATACGTATTATTAATATGTATGCTATTTCAAAACGTTATTCGAGAATGTTATCAAATCGATTCCGATCATGTTTAAAGATATGTTATATTAAAGTATATTAAATTACGTTGACCCTTGCTGACCTTAGTTGAAATTTTACTAGGACCACTACTAAGGCCAGCTTTTTGACTTTCTGGAGCTGTTTGATTCCTTTCTTTTATCCTTGTCCCTAGTAACCCTAGTAACCCTAGGAAAACCAAAATTTTAGGAAAAATAGAATTACTCTATGGTACTTACTATGCTAGATACAATACCTTTTTGTCTAAAGATAACTAAAAAAGTATAAATAAATTTTCTAAGTGCATGTCGCACACTCGGAACATTAAAAAATTATCCCGTACTGATAAATAAATTCCCACCTAACTATTTTCACTTAACTTCAATCTTTTTTCTTTAAAAATTTTTACGTAAGTAAACAAGTCAATATTAATTGCAGTATATCGTGCTATATAAATATTTTAATGTTTATATCTCATTAAAAGCAATTAACAAGACAAGTTAGCAACAATGTCAGAATCGAACAACGGAGAGATTGTTGGTGCCTTTACGGAGATATCATCTGATTCCGAAGGAGCTAATTTTGAATTTATCCCTGTACCAGCTGAAGACAATACCCCCGAATCGACAAAATATAATACCCCTGATAGTGGTTCCACCTCTCCTCCCTCTGGTTCTCATGTTACAGGAGGCTCTATTTCTGTCAGTATTGGAACATCTGGTGTCAATGTTACTAAAACCATTAACTGGTCTAGCGAATAAAAGAAAGTTGTTGGGATGAATTACGATATAGAAGAAAGAGTTTTTCTTGTTTTTTTATACTTATTATACATCCATTCTAGTTATATTTTAACTGTATCTTTAATACCTTATAAATGTTATTAGGAAATATTATCAAATTGATTTTATTCATATCTAATAAAGACATGTATTATATCAAAGTATATCGACTTTGCTGAAATTCTGACCCTAGTTGACCCCAGTAGCGAAATATATATGTACTCACCCATTACAAAGTATACCACATAATTGCTATCGTCTAACGCTGTCAAATTGGATCTGCTCGCGTCCTAATAAAAAAATTCGTCCAGGTTTCGTCCAGGTAAAAAAATGCCAACTTGGACGGATATTGTTATAGGAGAAAAAGGTTAAATTTTGTTTTATCTTGTTCTTCTATACTTGTTCTATTTTCGTCTAAGTTGTCTAGGTAAAAAATAGAATTCTAGAAAAAATATCAAACTCTTTCCTATGGTATACGCTGTATATATATACCTTTGGTACATATACGATATATACTATACACATACACATATCTTTGGTACATATACGATATAATATCTATGTTCTATACACATAGATAAAAATTATAAAAGTAAGAAGTTCGAGAATTTACCTAGACAACCTGGACAACTTGGACGGTTAGTCTAAAAACTTTTCTTTCAGTTTGAAATTGCTAGCAGGAATATTATTTTCCGTCCAAGCTCACGTCCAAGAAATAATCCGTCCGAGAAAAAATTTTGGATGTGATCCCAAAAATTCTAGGACAGATACAAACTAGGTCACAACTTTTTTATCCACCTCTTTCACTTCAGGTCCACTCTGGGCCAGCTTCTCCAGCTTTTTCCGATGATAATGTTCCCGTCTTCGATGTTTTTTAGCATGAATGTCGCAATAACCATATTTAGAATAAGTTGGCTCACCACATCCATATTCTTTACAATGCACGCGTATGGGAGAATTTCTGTGAACTTGACATCCCTTTGGATGATAGCATCCCCGATTACATACTTCGCCGGTTCTAAGGATATAGGGACAAGTATAAAATGTCATACCAATACTAAGTGTTTTGTCACTAGTTTCACTATATCTAATAATATGTATCGATTTCTATATTTCAGATTTATTTTTTATTTGAACTTTTTTGTTTAGAACAATATAGCATAAAAATAATCTTAGCTACAATGAATACCCAAAAGATCCAAGAAAACATCGATCATGTGCCAGCGGAGGCGGGAGTACCACCTTCGCGACCAGAAAGCCCGGAAAACTCTGAAAACTTGGAAAATTTCGAGTCAGAAGAAGAAAATAACGGGGCATTCTACCACCGGGGGTTTAGAGCTTTTCCTCAATCACAGATTTCGGAAAATGGAAAGGCAGAACAATTACTTCAATACCTATCCCACTATTTTGGTAGTGACTATTTAGGAATCCCAACTCGCAACGATATAGTTAGAGAAAATGAGAATGGATCAACTTCAATTCTTGAACGAGCCTTAGCTAACCGGGAAAATATACCTTTCATGCCTACTTACGTATATAGAAGAATCCAACGAATATATCAATGGAACCCCCTATTATATCTTACGTTTGTATGGCCCACTTATCAATGGTCAGAAAGCGATGGTAACTATTACAGGCATTAAAGTTTTCTTTGATATCCGAATTCCTGACAATAAAGATATATATCTACATATTACCGCAAAGTCGCTCGTGAATACCGAATTTCTCTTACGGGATGGGGGGCAATAAACAATTATAGTTACTGAAAAAGTTCTTCTCTTTGTTCATATGCATTTAGAGTATCTGTAAAGAATTTTCATTCCATAGAAGACTTAGATGAAATAAGCAATTTATTTCCAACTTAATATATGATGCATGATCGCACTTTAGTACTAACGTGGGATATAGAAACCCACACAGAACGTGGAACAGATCAATTACCTCGACCATGGCATTCAGAGGAAAATGTATTTATGATTTGTATGACAGTTCACTGGAGAGATGACCCTACTCCACTGAAGCAAATCTGTCTTGTCAATGTAGAAACTGAACCAGACCCAAATTGGATCACAATCGTATGTGGAAATCAAACAAATTTATTAAAGGCATTTGCATTATGTTGGCGGGCACTAGCACCAGATATTGTAATAGGTCTCAATGATTCAGACTATGATTGGCCTTTCATCGTAGAAAAGGCTAGCCGACTGCATATTCTTGAATGGATGTGGTTACAAATGTCTGCGAACTCACGTCAAAGTACAAACAAACAAATTTTACGTTGGAATTATTATGCGAACATGGGGAAAAGCCCAGGTTCTATAGGACGTTCTTCGGATATTGCTGAAAACAGTCATAAAGTGGTTAAAGAAAATGAATGCGAAGAAGATTTTACTCGGCTAGCAGTGAAAATTAAGATAAGTCCAGAAGAGTTCTTTATTTCTTCTTTTCTGAAGTTGCCAGGATGTGTTCCAATTGATGTTCGTGCAAGTTTCAAAAAATTATATCCACGATCTGAAGTGCAAAAAGGAAGCTCACTCAAGTTTTACTTAAAAATGTGTGATCTCAGAGGTAAAATCGATATGCCAATAAACCGTATGCGGGATTATTACAAAATAGCAAAAGAAAATGATTCCATAGAGTCCGCAAAACATATGCGTGAGGTAGCAGAATACTGTATTATTGATGCTCTACGATGTCAACAGCTTATGTTTAAGCGTAATGTGATAAACGACAATAAAGAAGTTGCATCAATTTCTTATGTTTCTCTATTCAATGCACATTATCGTGCAAATGGAATAAGGGTATGTAATCTCTTAGGTGCTGAAGCCTGGAAGCAGAATATACTAATTAGTATGATACCACGTAAAGATGTCGAATCTGGAAAATATCCCGGTGCCCATGTATTTTCTCCGGTAAAAGGCCTCAATAATAAGCGTCCAGTTACAGGTTTGGATTTCGCATCATTATATCCATCTATTTTCATGACTTACAACTTTTCATCCGAAATGATAATATTAGAGGAAAAAACAGCTACGGAACTACAACAGAAAGGAATACGTCTCCATAAAATCGAATTCACATTTAATGGTCGAATATTACAAGCCTGGTCGGTATTACATGAAACAAGATCGATAAAAAAGGTTTGTATCCATTTGTTCTGGAAAAACTTCTGGATAAATGTAATAAAATGAAGTTCGATCTTGTTATTCTAGGTAAGAAAAAGGAGTATATGGAATTGGTTAGTAGTAAAATGAAAGAGAGGAATTTATCATTAACGGATGCTATAGATAACGTCTTGGATAACGCAGAAATAAAGAAGAGCATTCTGCTATGATTAAAATCTTAATTCCTTTTAGTAGAGATTATAGCGTCTTTATAACAGAATATGAATCTGTATGTTTTGACTATACCTGTTTGGACTCGAAACAAAAGGCAGTAAAAGTTTATATGAATTCATTTTACGGTGAGACAGGTAATAGTCTATCCCCGTTCTTTCTACGCCATATTGCTGGAGCTGTTACTTCAGCGGGTCAGTTCAATATTAAGCTTGTTGTAGAATATGTACTAAAAAAGGATATGGAATTCAATATGGTGGTGATACTGATTCATTATACAGTATCTCACCTGACCCGAAGATAATTATAAGAAATGTGATCTGGCTTATAGAAACAATTCAATTTCAACACTAGAGTATTGGACCGAAATGGTTAATATTACCATGAAAGTAATGGAGAAATTGCGCAATGAAGTGAATACCTATCTTAAGATAAAAAGTAGATCAACTTATCTCAAAATGGCTTATGAGGAGGTATTGTTTCCTGTTGTCTTTACCGGTAAAAAGAAATATTTCGGAATACCACATAAGGATATTCCAAACTTTAAACCAAAAAGTTATTTATTAAAGGGATCGATACTGTGAAGCAAGGACAATCAAATCTCTTTATAACTATCGGTGAACGAATTATGTGGAAAGCTATGGAGGTCGAGGATAACCAATCACTCCATAAAATTGTTGAAGACGTTATCAGAGATGCTGTAACAAATTCTAAACAATGGGAGTTTGAACAGTTCATCCAAACCGATACGTGGAAACCCAATGTTCAAAACTTAACTGTTCAGCGGTTCATAGAGCGAATGAGAAAAACTATAAAGATAAGATTCCTGAACCGGGTGAGCGTTTCAGTTATCTAATACCCAAAACTGATATAGATTTTGATTTATCTTGTAAAAAGTTAAATCTAACCAAGGGCGACCGAATAGAATTTGTTGATGTGGCAAAGGAACACAGAAAGGAGATAGACTTATCATATTATCTCCAAAATAAAATTATTGGCCTTTGTGCCAGATTTATCAACTATGACGATAGATACCAACCACTGCTCTCTGATAAGATCCAGCAACTCAAAGACTCGGATGAGAAATATAAGCAAATTGACGAGTGTTCTCAGAAAAAAGCCAAGAAATGGTTCGAGGAATATGTAGACGGCTTGAGTGGTATTAGTCCCAAAATGATGCTTAATCGTGGATATGCTTACAAACGCGCTTACAAGAATGCAATCAAAACCGCACAATCTATATTACATCAGAAGATAAGTAATACTTACGAGATATTTTATGGAGAATGGCTCAGTTTTGAGGATTTTGAGGCAACTAATACTGTCGAGAGATTATGGGAAAGGTTCATAGAGTATGCCAGAGCGTATACTGAAAACGATAATCTCTTGATAAGTGAAGGGATAAAAAAATCTATATGCTCTGATTTTACGAAACATCTAAATGTACTTATCCCAATTATCGAGAAATATGATGTTTTCTTCCATAAGCGAGTATATCATATGCGATATAAAGAGCATATAACAATCCCAGATAAAATTGGCCAACCCAAGACTATGAGAAAAAACGAGATGATTACTGAACAACCTACTTTATCTCTTATATCGAAAACGGATCAACTAGCACTTGAGAGTTTTCTAAATACGTACATGGAACAAGGCAGTCAGCTCAATATAAATATAATCCCAATATCGCGATACTTATACAATATTAATTATATTTTTTCGTACATAAATAAATCCCAAGTTTAAATAGATATTCACCTAACCCACATATCCCGTAATCGCTCATTTTTCCTATCCAACCCCCATGTACGTCTCAATATAACAAACCACGTAACCGCAATAATTAACAGGGTAAGAAATATATATGCTGATAGAGGTGACATCAAAGTGCTTGTTACAATAGGGATTGCTCCTATCGGAGGAGGCAAAGCCTCAAGACTATGTCTTATCTGGGCATTCGATTCAATCAATGAGGATATGTTATTTTCCGGCTGTACAAGGTAAGGAGTCATATTCGGTATTTCTTGAAGTATATCGTCATTGGTTTTGCTAATATCGATTTCATCACTTACCTTGGTAGTATTCTCAACATTAACTTTTGGGAATGGGATATAGCTTTGAATCACTGATTTCTCTGGTATAGGAGTATTTTCATTATCAGTATTATCCAGTATAACAGTATCGATTTTTTCAGCTTGATCCATATTTTTTCTGCCTACAAAATATTGTCTGAGACTTTTGCTAGGTTCACTAACTGCAGATATATTGTCAGACTTGGTTATATTTTTTTCGTCATCTCCGCCAACTTTTGCAGAACAGGCTATTAGGCGATTTTCTGAATCATGACCCAAAAAGTCTACGGGTTTCGATATAGCCTCCGATTAAAGATATGATCCGCAAATAATAAATCCGTATATTTTAGAATTATCCGGATTATATTATAATACGGACTTAAAGAATGATCATCATTATTATACGGATTATACGGAT